GCACAGCGTTAAAAAGTTGGCATTCACAAAAAAAAAAAAAAAACCCACACACTACTAAAATACTGTGAGTTATTTTATTAAGTAAAGCAATATTTTAGTAGTGAAACATGCGGTAATGTAAGGAGTCAACTGCTGTCAGCAGGTTCCCCGATGACAGATGAATGTAAAAAAAGGCATGCACCCCATACTCATTTGCATGGGGGGGGCAGGGTTGTGTGCCTCAAATCAACTCCCCCCATATGTTGAGGGCATGTGGCCTGGTATGGCTCAAGAAGGAGGGGGGGGGTTGTTCGCTCATCCCCCCCCCCCTTTTCCATACCTGCCGGGTGGTATGCTCAGATAAAGGTCTTCTGTAGATCTGGGGGGGGGGGGAAGAACCCCCACGCCATTTTCTAAAATGTTTGGTGTGGGGGTTCCCCTCAAAATCCGTACCCGACCATGAGGGGGGGGGGGGGTAAGTGTTAGCACCCATCATACACTGTTTTTTATTCTTAATATTTAATTGCCGGCAATTCCATTTTTACATTCAGCTGATGACTCATTGGTTGGTAAAGACGCGGCTCCTTAACAACCAATGTATTCTGCATGCCTCGACCACTACTTAAATCACATGCATTTAATTATTTCCTTCTGTGAATTGACTTGAAGGTCTTTTTATGCGGTATTTGCCATGCTTTTGTCATTTGTGATAAATACCGCATACTGGACAGAAATACTGCACATTTGCAGCTCTGATATCAACCAATTTCCTTTGTATCATTCTGTCCCCCCTTACCTCCTCACTCCTCCCTCCTGACTGATTCAGTTTACATCTCTACATCTACATCTTGGGCCGAGCCAGCTTGGCTTGGGCAAGGGGCAGGCCACTGGTCTGGGCACGCACTGCACGTTTACATTATGGCACTTAATGGCTTTTCCACCAATTTGAAATAGACTGCAAGGAGGGGAAGCGGGAGGAGAGGAGCATTGTCTTCAGTGCCCTGAATCACACTGGACAATTTACTGTTACAGGGGTCAGCGCCTGACAGCTCCACGTCACAGGGAAACTGCCCTGCCATAGCAGAGTCTGTGGGGGGTAACTGATGTAAAGGGGAGTAGTGACCCTAAGGTAAGTTGGGGAGCAATGATAAAGATTACCCCTTATATCAGTTTTCCCCCCTTACCACAGTGTATTCACTTGCAGACGCTGATTTAATGGGTTGGGTGGAGTGGGATCTCTGGTTACCCGAGACCCCCTTACCCAGAGTTCCCCTTTACACCAGTGTCTGCAGTGTTCCCCTTTACATCAGGCTCCAGAGCACTCCCTTGCCGAGTAAGGTGGAACTCTATAGACTTTCCATAAAAAGTCCCACCAAATAGCACCAGGCCCATGATTCTCCTAATCCTAATGTAGAAATATATTTACAGATAGATACAGGTTTTCAGGAGATAGGAAATATTGGCTCAGATTACAGATCCACACCACCATAAAAAAATTATTAAAAATTACTTTGCTCCTAATGTCATATCTGTGCCCACAATTTTAAGTGGTTTTCTGCATGTAAGCGCTCCCCACAACAGCAGATTAAAGGGTTACTAAACCCACAACAGTAAAATCAGTCTGTATATGCAATAAATCATGCTTGATATACTCACTTTGGAACCTAAGGGGTTGATCCTCTGCATTGTGTAAAAACGCTGTTTGATCCTGACTTCTCTGATCCTCCCCTTCTTCCAGTGCCTCCCTCTGATCCTCTCCTTCCAGTGCCTCCCTCTCATCTCCTGATAAGACATATCGTGTGGAGACACTTTGCACATGCTCAGTTTGGTGTCTATTGCTAGAGAGGGGTTTTTTTTTCCCTCGGGAGAGCGCATGTGATCAGCACAGGGCCAATCAGCACTGTCCAGACAGAGGTCAGGGGTCCTGCATCCTCTAGAGCAGAAAGAAAAAACTTCTCCTACAAGCTGCAAGCAGTGCTCGGCTGCACACTGATAGAAGTCACAAGACTGCTCTAACTGCTGATGAGAAAAGGTATTTAGCAGTTTATATTTACTAAAATAATTGCATTTACAGGTTGTGTGTAGTGTGGGAGACCAGATATAGTGAATGCAGGGTCCTGGGTTTAGTAACACTTTAACAACTATCATTAGGTAAAATATCAGCACAGTTTTGTAATGCTTACAGCCAGTCTTATACATAATGCATGTGTAGCTAAATAGAAAGGCAAAGAGGGGGCAAAGTCTGCGTTCTAAGCATTCATTCCTGGGCACATGCTGCTGTAAACGTATCACCAAGTGCAGCATCTAGCCCTGTCCATCCACAGCAGCTGTCAGCCACTCCCAGAGAATTTGACAGGCTGCTGGCAGCGGGCCTGGATGGTGCACCTGTGCCCTCCATGCGCATCTAAGCGCCGGAGCCTCATGCACCTAGGCTAAACTCCCAGTGTGCACGGGCCTTCTAGTTTATTTGAACTAAATGTGGATCCTTCTGATGGGACTATATACATGTCTGTCTATCTATCTATCTATCCATTCAGTCGTATCCAACCCTTGGCGATTGCATGGACCGTCACTCGTAAGCGACTTTTTCCATGAATTCTCTTAGCAATTATTTTACTGGGTAGGTTGCCAGGTCTTTCCCCAACCCCTACCATACTGGAAATCCCGTATATACATGTACTAATGTTTTAATAGATCTGATGGGACTATATACATGTACTAATGTTTTAATAGATTTTGCTTCTTTCATTTCTCTACATTCAATTAGAAATTGTTATTTTTTTCCCCCCATTTGTGCAACATCTGTCTTGTTTTCCCCCATAAAGTAGACCTATATAATTTGCCTAACATTATTCAAAGTTAGTATTTTCCTGTGGTAGTAACATTCCTGTCAATTAAAGAGTGAATGTTGAAGAACAGAACAACAAAGTCATGTTTTTTAATTGCCTCATTAAAATTTTTTCATAGCTCACAAGCAAAAAGTGATTAGAACGATACTCCAAGTTATTTTTATACAAGCATACTATTTTGTAGCCCTCAAAGGAGAAAAAAGAGCATTGAATTCCATAGCTTGCTACATAGAGGATACCATGCACACATTTGGAAGGAGACAACAGGACTGACCAACGAAGAATGTTTATGATAACATGATCTAGGCTCCATAAATGCAACCTCATCACACACAATCATGACAAAATTGAGTAAAAGGAATTAAAAAAAAAAAAAAAAAGGGGGAAGTGGGGGAGGTCTAGCCCACTGTAACACATCTATTGTTTTGTGGATTTCCTTCAACCGTTTCATTTTGCCAATTCATGTGTGGGGGATGCATATTTTTACCTTTATAAAAAGTATAGCTATAACAGTCATTAGAAAGATATCATCCTTCCATAGTCTATATGTTCTGAAATGCTAACGGCCAATTTCTGATGTGTGGATGAGGATATACTGTATCCGTGTTTCTTTTTCTAGCATAGCACACTAAATCTACTATAATTTCTGCAACACTGTGCACTACAATGCATGGTAGCGTCTTACAACACATATCTGTTGACCAGGTGGGTCGGGGGGCCATTTGGAATGAATTGCACCAATAACGGTTAGGCAGGTTACTGCATTGCAATGATGTATGCATGTCCCAAATCTAGCTCAAATTCAATCCAAAAAATTAGACATAGAAGCCAGCTAGCATTCTCAGAAGAGGGAAGTGCAACAAGGGCATAGACAGGTTAAGCTGCGTCAAGTGCACCTGTATAGAACATGCAGCACACATCCTCCAAAAAGAAACTGCCAGAGAAAAAACAAAAAAAAACAACACATACACCATCAAAACTTTCCATCTACACACATCATTAGGTAGTGATGAACAATTTGGTCTGGCAAAAGCAGCAAGTTACTTATTGCTCCTGAAAACATGTATGGAGATTTGTTTACTTTGTAGACAACCATGCAGGACTGGCTGGATTCTTAGAATAGGTTTTTCTCTGCAGATCAGGAAAATTCAAGCAAATAAAAAAAAAAACTGATAAATCAAAGATACCCAATGCAAACCTCACTACTTAGGGATGCTTACCCTGAATGTGTGCTTTGCACAGGGAGAGCAAAACTTAACTGCTGTCTTCCTCAGATGCATATACACTCACCTTTTGCCCTCTTACTGCTCCTTTCAGCTACTAGGAGCAAACTGAGTAAGACCTGTGTAAGCACCAAGTCATGGGTCATGGCTTAATGCTTACAAAAAAAAAAGGTTAAAATATATTATGTGTTGGGACAAACTGCCTTTAACTTTAATTCCAACCCAGTCTTAGTTCGTAGGGTTCAATAAGGAGTTGGCCCATGCTTTGCAACTTTAATAGCTTCAGCTCTTCTGGAAAGGCTGTCCACAAGATTTAGGAGTGTTTCTATGGGAATGCTTGATCACTCTTACAGAAGGGCTTTTGTAAGATCAGGCCAGTCAAGTTCCTCCAACCGCAAACTCATTCATCCTTGTCCTTGTGGACCTGGCTTTGTGCACTGGTGCAGTCATGTTGAACAAGGGGCCATCCCCAAACTGTTCCAATAAAGTTGGGAGCATGAAATTGTACAAAATGTCTTGGTCTGCTGATGCCTTAAGAGTTCCTTTCACTGGAACTAAGGGGCCAAGCCCAACCCCTGAAAAACATCCCCACACCATAATCCCCCCCTCCACCAAACTTTACACTTGGCACAATGCAGTCAGACAAGTACTGTTCTCCTGGCAACCATCAAACCCAGACATGGATTGCAAGACAGAAGCGTGATTCGTCACTCCAGAGAACATGCCGCCACTGCTCTAGAGTCCAGTGGTGGTGTGCTTTACACCACTATATCCTACGCTTTCCATTGCACTTGGTGATGTAAGGCTTGGATGCAACTGCTCGGCCATGAAAACCCATTCCATGAAGCTCTCTACACACTGTTGTGCTAATCTAAAGGCCACACGAAGTTTGGAGGTCTTTAGCTATTGACTTGGCAGACAGTTGGTGACTTCTGTGCTTCAGCATGTGCTGAAACCGCTCTGTCATTTTACATGGCCTACCACTTCATGGCCGAGTTGCTGTTGTTCCCAGTTGCTTCCACTTTGTTATATATCACTAACAGTTGACCGTGGAATATTTAGTAGCAAGGAAATTTCACGGATGGATTTATTGCACAGGTGGCAACCTATCACAGTACCACACTTGAATTCACTGAGCTTCCGAGAGTGATCCATTCTTTCACAAATGTTTGTAGAAGCAGTCTGCATGCCTAGGTGCTTGATTTTATACACCTGAATCCAATGGTTTGGGAGGGGTGTCCCAATACTTTTGGCAATATAGTGCAAGGTTTGCACAATGGGGAGAGCAGCTTTACTTCAACATAAGACTAAAAGATGTACTATATTGTGCAAAATATCTAGTCTTATAGTGAATTACCATAGTATAATGTGCTTCTACAGCCTCCAAAGAAACCTGTACCAAGAGATAGACACGCATTGCCTACTGATATAAGAATACCAATTGCCTGGCTGTCTCAGGCTTCAATGCTTTGGTACACTGTCTGGAAACTATCATTCAGACGAGAAAATTCAAAATAAAGGCAGGGGCTGCATACTTTTCCAAAGGCAGAACACATAGGGGGAGATTTGTTAAAACTGGTGCATTTAGAATCTGGTGCAGCTGTGCATGGTAGCCATCTTCTAAATCCAACTTGTTTAAGTTTTGATAATAAAACCTGGAAGCTGATTGATTTCTATTCAGAGCTGCACCAGATTTTGCACCATGCAGTTTTAGTAGATAACCCCCACAGTGTCAAAGCAAAGGCTCAGAATGTGAGCCAAACAACTAGCATTCTACTGGGAGTGGTCAGCAATGACATACTCCATACTTCAGTATGGGTTTGCTAAATGTATATATATATATATATATATATATACACACACACACATACATATACACACTGTACATACATACATACATGTGAAACTCGAAAAATTAGAATATCGTTCAAAAGTTCATGTATTTCAGGAATGCAACTTAAAAGGTGAAACAAATATATGAGATAGACTCATTACATGCAAAGCAAGATAGTTCAAGCCATGATTTGTCATAATTGTAATGATTGTGGCTTACAGCTCATGAAAACCCCAAATCCACAATCTCAGAAAATTTTAATATTATATTCAATCAATAAAACAAGGATTGTACATAGAACAATATCGGACCTCTGAAAAGTATAAGCATGCATATATACTCAGTACTTGGTTTGGGACCCTTTTGCAGCAATTACTACCTCAATGCGGCGTGGCATGGAAGCTATCAGCCTGTGGCACTGCTGAGGTGTTATGGAATGCTTGAATGCTGGAATGCAGGATGCTTCAATAGCGACCTTCAGCTCTTCTGCATTGTTCGGTCTCATGTTTCTCATCCTTCTCTTGGCAATGCCCCATAGATTCTCTATGGGGTTCAGGTCAGGCAAGTTTGCTAGCCAATCAAGCACAGTAATCCCCACGGTCATTGAACCAGGTTTTGGTGCTTTTGGCAGCGTGGGCAGGTGCCAAGTCCTGCTGGAAAATGAAGTCAGCATACCCATAAAGCTTGTCTGCGGAAGGAAGCATGAAGTGCTCCAAAATCTCCTGGTAGACGGCTGCATTGACCCTAGACTTAATGAAGCACAGTGGACCAACACCAGCAGATGACATGGCTCCCCAAATCAACACAGACTGTGGAAACTTCACACTGGACTTCAAGCATCTTGCAGTGTGTGCCTCTCCATTCTTCCTCCATACTCTGGGTCCTTGGTTTCCAAATGAGATGCAAAAGTTGCTCTCATCAGAAAAGAGGACTTTGGACCACTGAGCAACAGACCAGGTCTGTTTTTTCTTTAGCCCAGGTAAGATGCTTCTGATGTTGTTTGTTGTTCAGGAGCGGCTTGACAAGAGGAATACGACATTTGAAGCCCATGTCCCGGATCCGTCTGTGTGTGGTGGTTCTTGATGCACTGACTCCAGCCTCAGTCCACTCCTTGTGAAAGTCCAACACTTTTGAATGGCCTTTTCCTGACAATCCTTTCCAGTCTGCGGTCATTCCTGCTGCTTGTGCACCTTTTTTCTTCCACACTTTTCCCTTCCACATAACTTTCTATTAATGTGCTTTGATACAGCACTTTGGGAACATCTAACTTCTTTTGCAATTACCTTTTGAGGCTTTCCCTCCTTATGGAGGGTGTCAATGATGGTTTTCTGCACAACTGTCAGGTCAGCAGTCTTTCCCATGATTGTGATTCCTACTGAACCAGACTGAGAGACCATTTAAAGGCTCAGGAACCCTTTGCAGGTGTTATGGTTTAATTAGCTGATTAGAGTGGGACACTTTGAGCCTAGAATATTGCACCTTTTCACAATATTCTAATGTTCTTAGATTGTGGATTTGGGGTTTTCATGAGCTGTAAGCCATAATCATCACAATTCTGACAAATCATGGCTTGAACTATCTTGGTTTGCATGTAATGAGTCTCATATATTAGTTTCACCTTTTAAGTTGCATTACTGAAATAAATGAACTTTTGCACAATATTCTAATTTCTCGAGTTTCACCTGCCCAACGGATAAAATTCAAAACACTAACAATAACGTATAAAGCCATTTATAACTCTGCCCCAAATTACATCACCGATCTTGTCTCCAAATATCACCCAAACCGTACTCTCCGCTCCTTACAAAACCTCCTACTCTCTAGCTCCCTTGTCTCCTCCTCCCATGCTTGTCTCCAGAACTTCTTCAGAGCTTCCCCCATCCTCTGGAACTCTATAACCCAATTTATCAGACTATCGCCTACTCTGCTCACTTTTAGGCGATCTCTTCAGGGAAGCCTATCCTGCCCTCAGCTAATACTGTAATCTTCTACTCTTCCAACCAGTCCATCCCCCCACAGTTACTACCTTTTTGTACCACTAGCCTCTCCCTCCTAGATTGTAAGCTCCAAAGAGCAGGGCCCTCAAATTCCTCTTGTATTGAACTGTATTGTCTCCTGTTATATTGTAAAGTGCTGAGCAAACTGTTGGCGCTATATAAATCCTATATATAATAATAATATATATACACACACATATACAGTTAGGTCCATATATATTTGGACACTGGCACAATTTTAGTTTGTTTCAGGTATTTACCTAAACATATTCAAGCTATAGTTATATAATGGATATGGGCTGAAAGCGCACACTCTTCCAAAATATTGCGTCCAAATATATATGGAGCTAACTGTATATACATACACACACACACACACACACACACATATATATATATATATATATATATATATATATATATATATATGTACACACACACACACATGCACATGTTAAGGGGCAATGTAGCAAATCTTCCATGAGAAAATATGCAGTTTTCAATTACAGTACTGAAGCTGTAATTGTGGTAAACAATTTTCTTTTTTTGTAGTTGGTTATTTTAAAAAACTTCTATATTGGCTCCCACATCCGCCCCAGGGGGAATTTAGCTCTAAGTTCTGAGCCCCTCGACCTGGCAGCTGTCCTTTGGTTTCAGGTAAACCCTAGCTACCTCCTGAAGGTTTAATAAACTATACAGCTATAAGTTAGCGTTATACAGTTGTGTTCAAAATAATAGCAGTGTGTTGAAAAAAGTGAAAAAAGCTCAAAATCCTTCTAATAGCTTTTATTTACATACACACAAATGCATTGGGAACACTACACATTCTATTCCAAATCAAAACATGAAGAAAAATAAATCAAATTTGTGTTGTTTCTCTAAAAAAATTGAAGAAAAGTGAATATTAGACTGTTCAAAAAAAATAGCAGTGTTTGTATTCTTCTTTACAAACTCAAACATTCACTATATAACCTGAAAAATGTTTGAAGATTTTGCTTTCCTTTGAATCACTTAATATTTCATTGTATAAGCACTGTTTCTGAGAAACTGCTGTACATCTGTGTTGTATGGAGTCAACCAACTTCTAGCACCTGTGAACAGGTATTCCAGCCCAGGATGATTGGACTACATTCCACAGTTCTTCTCTATTTCTTGGTTTTGCCATTTCAAGGGCATTTCCTCTTCAGCATAAGGCAGCATGACCTCTTCAAGTATTCTGATGTATTCAAACTGATCCATGATCCCTGGTATGCGATAAATAGGCCCAACACCGTAGTATGAGAAACATCCCCATATCATGATGCTTGCGCAACCATGCTTTACTGTCTTCACAGTGTACTGTGGCTTGAATTCAGTGTTTGGGGGTCGTCTAACAAACTGTCTCCGGCCACTAGACCCAAAAAGAACAATCTTACTTTCATCAGTCCACAAAATGTTGCGCCATTTCTCTTTCGGCCAGTCAATGTGCTCTTTGGCAAATTGCAACCTCTTCAGCATATCTTTTTTTCAACAGTGGGACTTTGCGGGGGCTTCTTGCAGATAGCTTGGCTTCACATAGGCGTCTTCTAATTGTAACAGTACTCACAGGGAACTTTAGACCTTCTTTGATCTTCCTGGAACTGATTGTTGGCTGAGTCCTTGCCATTTTGGCTATTCTTCTATCCATTCAAATGGTAGTTTTTCGCTTTCTTCCATGTCTTTCAGGTTTTGGTTGCCATTTTAAAGCATTTGCGATCATTTTAGCTGAGCAGCCTATCATTTTCTGCACTTCTTGATATGTTTTCCCCTCTCCAATCAACTTTTTAATCAAGGTACGCTGTTCTTCTGAACAATGTCTGGAACGATCCATTTTCCTCAGAATTTCAGAGAGAAATGCACTGTAAGCAGCATGTACAACATTTGCTGCCTTACTTCCTTAAATAAGGGCAATAATTGCCACCTGTTTTTCAAAGAATGAATGACCTCACTAATAGAACTCCACACTGCTATTATTTTGAACATGCCCCTTTCAATTAGTGATTCAATTACACAGAATCAGCAGCATGCATGTGATGACTGTTGGGTCTGTTGGATTTTTATTACTCTACTACACCTGCTAGTAAATTATTTGCCATGTAGAAATATAATTTCTACCAAAAACAGTGATTGATCAGGTTAGTAATGTCTGACTGCTATTATTTTGAACACAACTGTATATGTACGGGTTTTGAGCAACGTTATGCTCCTATTTAGATACTTTACATCCCTCACTCCTGATGAAGCGGTGATCTCCATAAATCATGTAGAGGTTTGCTGTGCATATGTTCCCTTAAGTCTACAATCCTGGAGGGGATCCCGCTTCTAGGGAGACTCAAGCCATTCAGAATAGGGAACAGCTGGAGGGAAGTCTCTATCTGGTTTTTAATCATGTATTGTAGATGGTTTTGGAGCTTCATAATAAACTCTGATATTTTATAAGCCGTTCGTCGTCTGTCCTTGGTGTACTGAAAAAAATCCATGATTTTCCCCCCTTTTTTCTACAATCAAATTGCATTTAGTCTATTAAAAATGAATAAGCTGCTTTACCACAACACAATGCGATCCATGATTTTTTTAATGGGTCTCATTTATGTAAAGAACTTTCTAAACATCCTCTTTTTCATTTTCATTTTCCAGAGCATGCTTACATTTTATTAGCTGCTATGGAGTAATACTGACTGTTCTCATTTCAAACACTTTGAGGCACTATTTTTCACTTGAAGGCTGCCACCCAAAAGTTATACTTTAGTCACGGAGTCTGAGGGGCTGACTTACTGACATGGCTTCTTTTAATTTCCTCCGTAGATTTCATCTGTGCTCTCCCCAACGTTGAAATTGAAGATGCAGTTGCCCACCTTTCAGGTTTTCCCCACTATGCCTACTGATTTTTTTATTATAGAAAATAAAATATCTAGCAAGAAAAATCCCTTTTTAATATAGCCACAATAGGCATGCAGATTAGAACAGATATATCATATAAATCCTGCTATTATAAGAAACTATTAGATTTTAACTATTAAATATCAATTTGAGGTGGACTGACTATTTTAAAGTGCTCCATGGGCTCCTTTATAGATTGATATAGCTCAAAGATGTATCCTGCAGGAGGTTGATGTATTTTGAAAACTTCATCCTGAAGGTACTTTGGAAACATGAGGACTGGAAAATTAATAAAGCTTAAAGTGATTGTAAAAGGCAGAGTTTTTTAAAATAACAAATCATGTCATACTTACCTGCTCTGTGCAGTGGTTTTAATAGAGCAGCCCCAATCTTCCCCGCCAGTGCTCCTAGACCCCTCCTCCTGCCAAGTGCCCCCACAACAAGCAAGTTGCTATAGGGGCTCCCAAGTTGCTGCTCTGTGTGTCCATTCACACAGAGCTGCGGCTCAGCCCCACCCCTGCTCTCTCATTATTGGCTGTGGCTGTGAATGAAAGTAGTAGGAGCCAACGGCTCCTGCCTCAGCCAATGAGGGGAAGAAACCTGGGACAGTTGAGGCTCTCATGCACTTTGCTGGATCAACGGGGGCTCAGGTAAATATTGGAGGCAGTGGCTGCTGCACACAGAGGTTTTTTACCTTCGTATATAGAATTATAAAGCTTACAGCCACTTTAAAAACTGAACTCCAAGTCAACAGCTAAAACAGAGCTCTAATATATATATATATATATATATATATATATATATATATATAAAAATGGAGCGATTTTACCTGACAAAGGGTCTGTATTTATGTCCATCCGGTCCCAAGATTTATGCAGCCCATTAACATGGCAGAGCCAGGTGGATGACACAACTTACAGCTGAGGACCGTATCATCTGTTAGCATGTTCCTTGTTAACACAGCTGCACTGAGCATGTTTGATTAGCTCTCAGTTCTGGCTTTCCCTCGCCAAATGAATGCTGCTGAATAGGGGATTGCAATAGAATGGTCCTGGGTCAAATTCAGGTACTTTTGGAGTTTAGCTGTGAAAGTGCTTACACAAAGCTGAGTTTAGACTTGATTGTTTCACCTTTGCAAGGCAGCTATATGACCAATTAAAGCCCATCTCCAGGCATGACATCACCCAAGCATAGATCTTGGTGCATAAAATGCATCATTGTTTAAAAGCCAACAATTAGTTAAAGAGGGGTGGGGGGTGTCGTGTGCCCCGGAGATAAAGTCAGAGATCCTGTGTCACATATATAAATTTTATTTACTATGTGATACAGAAATATACAGTATCAGTAGTATATAACTCTAGAATATTGTATATATGCAATCTGGAATTCCATAACTTATGTCAGCTGCACCTTAAATTTACAGCTGTATAATGCCTAGAGAGTTCTGAGTCCTAAAGTCTATCCATGATCAACTAAAATCATACATTTCCACATTGTATGTCAATTTTTCTGGTTTATTAATCTGAAGGATTGAACTTCGTAAATGTACTTTGTGAATATTCCCACACAATTACTTCCTTGAATCCTGTGCAATGTACTCACTATGCCCTGTGAGTAGGCACTACAGTAAAGTGTCACACATTTCATAGAGCCTGCCTTCTGAACTACAGAGGTGCTAAGAGGAGTCAGTACAGGAATTACTGCTTGTAAACCACAAGGTACCATGGGATATGTAGTCCTTAACCACTTACCCTCCTAAGGATTTACCCCCCTTCAAGACCAGGCTTTCTTTTGGTGGTATTTGATCGCCTGTGCATTTTTATTTTTTGTGCTATAAGCAAAAAAAGGACCGACAATTTTGAGAACAAAAAAAACTTTTGCTAATAAACATGTCCAGTAAAAAATAAAAAAAAAATAAAATGTCGTCAAATTTAGGCCAAAATGTATTCTGCTGCATGTCTTTGCTAAAAAAAAAAAAAAAAAAAAAAAAAAAAAAAAAAAAAACAATAAATGTAAATTAATTGGTTTACATGAAAGTTATAGCATTTACAAATGGCGGTATAGATAATGGAATTTGTTTTCTACTAGTAATGGCAGTGATTAGCGACTTTTAGTGGGACTGCGGCAGACATTCTGACACTGGGGGGACCTACTTGGTGTCAATGCCAGTGACACCAATACAGTTTTCAGTGCTAAAAAAAAAAAAAAAAAAACTGGCACTGTACTAATGGCACTGGGCAGGAAGGGGTTAATGTGAGGGGCGATCAAAGGGTTAACTGTGTGGTGGGAGTGTTTTTTACTAGAGGGGGGGGGGTGTTCTTCACTGTAAGCACACTGATCGGGATGGCTGTACTGTACACAGCCATTCTGAGCAGTGTACTCGATTTGACAGGGAGGAAGATTGTAAACAAAACAATCCCCGTCAGAGATGCTCAGTAGTCACCGGGCGCCGGCAGGTAATTACTGGCCGGGACCCGGTGATTGACATCCGCATCCACGAATGGCGGCGCGGGTAGGGCGTGCACGCACCCCTTACTCGGA